AAGGCTTGTCCTCCTGAGGGCTCCTTCTGTGTGGACTGAGACAGTGCTGACTGGAGACTTGGCAACAAGCTCTTCTGTCTCTACTTCCGGGAGTTCCACATCAGCCACAGATACAGCTCTTAGTCTAGTAACAAACCCAGAGACGATTCCAGGCCTTGGAGGTGACTGAGAGCCTAGAAACAAGAGACCCAAAGGTCTATAATATGCCCTACATATCTCCTTTGACTCTGCTCCCCCAAAAAAAAGTCCTTAAAAATAAAATCTACCTGGAATGAGGCGCCAGCGACCCTTTCTCAGCCTGGCCTGGCCTGCCATCTAGTGGTAAGCACCGGGAATGGTGAAGACTAGACACAGGTGGTTAAGGCAGTTGGGGAGGTCAAGATTGGTAGGCAGGTAGGGGTCACAGGGCTCACCAGAACTCAGGGCTGGTGTAACTTTTAAAGGGAGGAAAGGGGAGGTCTGTGTTAGAATGGACTAGGATGCGATGGGAATGAAGGTTGGGGATGAAAGAGAAGGGGAAGGCAAGTAGGGAAAGGGGAAAGGGCTATTCGCCCCAGAGGGACAAAGAGCTGCCTCTGTTTAGAGGGGAGACAGACATGGCAGAGGGACTGGGGACAAGACCTACCAGCGTCACATGTTCCAGTGAGCTAGTGTCCCTGCATTATGTATTCCAGGCCCCCTCAAACTTTCTATGTAGCCAGTAACTACTTTGAACTTCTGATCTTGCTGCCTCTACCTCCTGAGGACTGAGATTACAGAGGTGCACCACCATGTCTGGTTTATGCGGTGCTGGGGATTGAAGCCTAATAAATTGCTGTGCAATTAACTCTGTTTACTACCTTGCTCAACTAACACTTATTGATCGCTTACATGTCAACAGTAGAGGGGGGGTGTAAAAGACAGGACCACTGAGCAGGAGGGGTGGTGTAACAGTTTCTTCGAGATTGAAACATTGCATCCTAAAAGGAAGCTCCTTGAACTGGAAGGTAAACAACTCATAACAACTTCAGAAAGTCCCTGAAACTGACCAGATTCACTAGGCCCCTCTTTGCCAGATTAAAGAATAAGCACTGAGCTTCCCTCTCAGAGGGAGCGCAGCTGAGCTGCAAATAGGACTCTCAGACAAGCCAAGCTGCCTGCAAGAGGTCTCTTGGAAAGGACACTCTTCAACTTGGTGAGCTGCCTGCAGGCTGTGCAATGAGCTCCAGGTTCCTGGCCTTTATGAGCTATCTCCCATGCTGAGGTGAGCTTTAGAAATACAACTGTCTTTGAGTCATCTCTCCTCCTGTAAGTAACTCCTCATCCACACTCCTGTAAGTAACCCCAGTAAAATCCATGTTTCACTAAGTTGGACTTTGGTGGTACTCATACTTTGGTCTGGCTTGGGCTCCCTATCTAAGGTGAGTAGACCTGTGTTTCGCATCTTCTCAGGAAAGCTCTAACATACAACATCTGCAATCCCAGCACTCAGGGAAGTGGAGGCTGAGGATCAGGTATTGAAGGTCATTCTTGGTACCCAGGAAATTCAAGGTCAGCCTGGGCTCCTGTCTCAAAAGAACAAGATAAATGTGAGTCACTCGTAGCCAGAAGAATAGCAACTGAGACAACTAAGCCCTAAGCCCGAGGTACCCTCCAGCTGCGTTTCTCCCTGCCCTGGCCAGGCCGCACCTGCAGCTCCCTGCCTTCTCACCCTTGGCAGATGCTCTGGATTCCACTTGGAGCCTGATGGTTAGATGGCTACCTTGGCTCTGGCTTGTCATAAATGTAGCCGAAAACTGAGACGGCTTCCTATCGTTCTTAGTCAATGGACCACCACAGTAAGAACACACACAAGGGAAGGGAAAAGTCCACACATGCACTCCTCCCCAACCGATGCTAAAACACGGACTGCAGAATTGAATGCAGGGTAACGGCTGAGAGAATGATGATTATAATGGATGCGTTAATGAGCGAATCAGAGGGATCACTCAGTCTTGAAGCAAAGCCTGAACTGTAGAGGTGTTTAATGTTTTGCCACAGTTCAGGTCTTGATCATTTGAGGCAGGGCCTCACGCTGTAGCCCAGGTTTGACTGGAACCTGCTATGTAACTCAGACTAGTCTTGAACTCTAGGCCGGCCATCCACTTGAATGTTGAGATTGCAGGTGTGTGTCCCTATGTTTGGCTGAATTTATGCTTGTTGAATACAACATTCTCTAGAGAGTTCTATATAATTTTTTTGTTTTGTTTTTTTGTTTTTTTTTTAAATTTATTATGTATACAATGTTCTGTCTGCACTTATGCCTGCATGCCAGAAGAGGGCACCAGATCTCATAGATGGTTGTGAGCCACCATTTGGTTGCTGGGAATTGAACTCAGGACCTCTGGAAGAGCAGCCAGTGCTCTTAACCTCTGAGCCATCTCTCCAGCCCTTTGTTTCTGTTTTTTGAGACATGGTTTCTCTGTAGCTTTGAAGCTTGTCCTAGAACTAGCTCTTGTAGACCAGGCTGTCCTCTAACTAGCCAGGCGGTGGTGGCACACGCCTTTAACCCCAGTATTTGTGGAGGCAGAGGCAGGCAGATCTCTGAGTTCGAAGCCAGCCTGGTCTACAGAGTAAATTTCAGGATAGCCAGGGCTACACAGAGAAACCTTGCCTCAAAAAAAGAAAACAAACAAAAAAACGAAACTTGTGCCCTTTAACAACTATTTCTACCCCCAAGGAATATATTGTGTAGAGCCACTCAGTTGAATTCATTAGTCTATGTATGTTTTCTGTATACAAGGGTATGCATTTTAAATAAAACACCAGAGGTTGCAAAACTCCTGAACGCTCTCCTGCCACACTGCTACTGGTGAAATAGGGTGCGGGAAGTGTCCTGGGCGCCATGAAGGCTTTCCTGCCTCAGATGTGCACAGCCACACCAAGCCAGTGGCCTCCAGGTCACGTCTCTCAAACCTGAAGAATGACAGCGACAGTGATTAAGAACACTGGCTGCTCTTCCAGAGATCCTGAGTTCAATTCCTAGCAACCGCATGGTGACTCACAACCATCTATAGTGGGATCTGATGCCCTCTTCTGGTATAAAGGCGTAGATGCAGGTAGAGCACTAATATATTGTAAATAAATCTTAATAAAAAAAACGGAAGAACAAAAATTACAGAAAATGTGCTGGGCAGTGGTGGTGCACACCTTTAATCCCAGTCCTGGGGAAGCAGAGGCAGGTGGATCTCTGTGAGTTTGAGGCCAGCCTGATGTGCAAAGAGAGTTCCAGGACAGCCAGAGCTACACAGAGAACTGTCTCGGAAAACCAAAGAAGAAAAAAGAAAGGAAGGAAAGAAAGTGGAAGAGTGAGTATAGATTTCTGCTAGGATTATATTTAGGATCTTAAGAGAAAGAAAGCTCATGAAGAGGAGGAGTGAGGTGCCCATTTAGGTGCTAGTCGAGGGCTTTCTATAGGACTCACAGCAGAAGCTAGGCAAGCATTGGGATATGGTTGACCCTTCCAACTGACCTGCCTGCAAGGTGTCCAGGTGCCTCTTGGTTTGGGTCAAATCTTCACTTATTCTCAGTGCTCATTTAGGTTGTTTCAAAGGCAGGAAAAAGAAGGACAAACCCGGTGAGAAGCCACAGTTCCCTCCTGACATTGTTGGCCTCTGACCAAGACATGTCTGACCAAGGACATGTCAGGCTTCTAACCAAAAACAAGAATTGGGGACTGAGAGATGACTCGGCAGGCAAGGGTGACCCCAACCCTGCCCACTGAGTTTGATCCCTGGAGCACACAGAAAGGTGGAAGGAAGGGACCCACTGCACAGCTGCCCTCCAGCCTCCACATGTTCTGTGGCACGTACATCCACACCCACACTCACTGATAATAATAAACAAATAGACTTTCAGGCTACCTGCACTGAAACTGCGCAGCCAGTTTCCTGCTTGCTAGTCTGACCACCAGCATAAAGCTTTGCGTGTGATCTTCAACCACCTGCTCATGTTATAGCTGCTTGTGAAGGGTAAAAAGTTCAAGCTCACTTCCCGGTTTTGAAAACCCTCCAATCCCCGAGCGCACTCAAGCTTGGGACTTGAAATCCCACCAATCCCCACCCTGGAAAACTCTACCCCTCCCCCAAGAAGCCCTGTTTAAGCCTGCCTCCTGCTCAGTTCTCGGCTGCTCCTTTCCCAAGCAGAGGCAGCCACCCTCTTGTGTCTTTCCCAATAAATGTCTTGTATGAGGTCTGTTATGCTGTGTGACTTCATGATATTCCTTGGCTCCCAGCTGTGAGGATATCTTTCCCTTCAGAGCCGTAACACTTACATTTTGGAAAAATTTTTATTGGGGCATAAGTATATGCAATGGTATATTCACAATTTGTCATTTCAAGCATACAATTCATTGGCCGTAACTGCATTGACAATATAGTGTAGCTGTGGCCTCTGTTGTCCACACCTTTTCACCAGCTTTAGTAGAAACCCTGTAACCACTGAGCAGTGGCTCACTCCCTCCTTGCCCCTCTCATAAACCTTTTCTTTATCGGTTAAGTTGCCCGTCTAGGTATTCCTCATAATTGGAATCATTCAATATTTATCTTGCTGTCTGACTTTTTTTTCAGTTCAATATTTTCAAAGCTCAGCATGTTGTAGTATACATTAGTACTTCATTCCTTTTTAGGGTCAAATAATATTTCACTATACATTAAAACATTATGCTTGTCTATCTATCCATCTTTTGATGGTCACTTAGGTTGTTTTTGATTTGCTGAAAGTTTTGAGATACACCTGAGAAAACAGCTGCTAGGGAAATTTCAAAAGGGAATCCCTCATTCAGAAGAAAGCTAAGTGGCCTCCCACCTATAGTAATGGAGATCCTCTGAGTTCATCACACGAGCCTTTTGAGACAACTTGGATCTTGGAGAGAAAGATCTGGAGAAGGCAATGTATTCCAGGACTTCTCAATTTACCAAGCAGCTCTAACACCATTAATTACTAGCTGGAAGGTTTGAAGAGAATCAAACTGCTGTGTTGGATCCCAGGGCAGTGTATCCCCCAGAAAGAAGGCAGAGGGAACCCTCGGGTGGTGCAGATATTTGCCTCCCCAGCCTAGCTGCTCTGTAAAGGGGAGTGTTGTGTCGCAAGGACAGCATGACCTGAGAGACAGGAAGCCATGCCACCTCAACAGCTGAGGCGCTTCACAAGTCTTTAAAGGCTCCCTGGTTGTCTGAGATGAACTGGCTGAAGCTTCTGGTTTTGGGGTTTAGACGGTGGGTAAGCTTGATGTCACGGTTGGGCTTCATATGATAGAAACGAAACATGTTGGCCAATTCGTCCGCTCCAGGGAATCCCAGCTTCTCATAAGCTTCTGGGGTGATCTTTTAAGAAGAAGGAAGAAAGCAGTAAATATTATGGTTTGCAATAGTTGTACGTATTCATCTCAGTATTGATGCAGGCCCTCATTCTTAGCTCCAAAATTTAAGGACCTCTAAAGTACCTCTCACACCGTTTGTCAGGAAGCTGACTGATAAGCTGATTGGATGGTAAATTCTGATCCAAACTGTGTGAAACTCTATATAGTCTTTAAGTGTGGTACTCAGTGGAAATAGTTATTGATGTATTTGATCAGTGTTTGATCACAGGTTCCGTGGTGGTGTTACACCCATGTGCCAGCTGACGATGCTGAAGGCACAGCTGTCTTAGGTCCAGGCATCTGGATACGGTAAATCTGGGCATCTTCAGAATGATCCCTCTACGTCTCTTCTGGATTGCCTGAGCAGGCCCCGGGATGGTCTGCCCTCCCGGCTACATGGGCATTACCCCCCATCACTCCGACTCTTTACTCGGTGATATCCCATCCATTTCCCCCTTCATGGCTAGAGATCTGGATTTTTTTTCCCCCTTCAATCATTCTAGCCCATGCCAGAACCATGGAGGCCCAGCAACAATGGAGCATATCCCATGCTTACTGAGATGCCTTCTGTCCCTGACTCCTGCCTGACACTAAATAGATGCCTAACTGCCTCTATTGAAGAAATGGGTATCATCTTAATATCTGATGAATATCATCTGTCCTCCCTGCAGAGATGAACTGTGGCCTTACAGTTCCAGTTGGGTTTTATTCCATTTAAACAATTTGCATGTATGTATGTATGTACGTGTGTGCATACATACATTATATATATGTATGTATACACACACACATATGAATGCATGTGCAACATCAGTGTGGGAGTGAGAGAACAAGCTGCCAGAGTCAGCTCTCTCCCGCCACCTGAGAATCCAGGGGATCAAACTCAGGTCATGGGGTTGTTCTCGGCGCCCTCCCCTGCAGAGCAGTCTCATAGGTCATGGGGTTGTTCTCAGCGCCCTCCCCTGCAGAGCCATCTCATAGGTCATGGGGTTGTTCTTGGCGCCCTCCCCTACAGAGCCATCTCATAGGTCATGGGGTTGTTCTCAGCACCCTCCCCTGCAGAGCCATCTTATTGGCCCTTCACTCACTTGTTCTTAGGAAAATAAATGTGAGGCTGGGCAGTGGTGGTGTTCACTGTTAATCCCAGCACTTGGGAGGCAGGCGAATCTCTGTGAGTTCGAGACCAGCCTGGTCTACAGACAGAGTTCCAGGATAGCCAGGGTTGTTACACAGAGAAACCTTGTCTCTAAAAACAGAAAAGAAATGTGTGTGAGAAATAAAAATGCATAGACAACCACAATTGTGTGGCTTCTGTGTCCTGAGAAGCCTGTGCTTGTCTCTTGGTGTGTACCTCGACCCGGCAATAAGCTTCCTCCACATTCAAAGCAAATCGATAGAGTCATGATTATTGCATGGCATTTTTAATAATGAAAGTCCCCGTTCTAGCTCTTGGAGGACCACTGTGATGCTGAGGCAAGTCTGTGTTACAGAGTGAGTCCCAGGCCAGCTTGTCTCAAAGAAATAAAAATCAGGAAAGGGGAAAAGAAAGAAGATGCAGGAGCAACAGAACAATAAAAACATATTATCATATTAATATATTTGAAGAAGTTTAGCAAAATAGAGAAGTGTTCATAACATTGGATGAAATGGCACTGAACGCTGTTTTACGTACTGGGAGGCAGAGCAGACAGGTCTCTGTGAGTTCAAGGTGTGGTAGCAAACACCTTTGAGCCCAGCACTGGGGAGGCAGAGACAGAGGGATCTCTGTGAGTTCAAGGACAGCCTGGTCTACAGAGTTATTCCAGGACAAAGATATATACAGAGAACCTGTCTCAAAAAGCCAAAAGTTAAAAGAAAAAAATAAAAGAAATAGAGGTTAAAATAAAGCTGCATAAAGATGAAAAATATACAGAGAATCTTGATACTGTGTATTATTATGCTCTCCTTGAATTGTTTGAATGCTGAGGAAGGAGCAACAGCTGCTAAAAGATATTTGCTTATAAATGCTTCTTAATTAATCCAAGATAGATATTTTGAAAATACCTTGGCTTCAAAATTGAAGTCAAAAGGTATGCTACTTTGGAGAAGAGATTTTGTTTTTGTTTCCACAGAAAATGAGAGGTTGTGGATTCATTCTGAGCTAAGAAAAATCAGATTTGATCAAGGGAGACCACCCGAGAAATCTCCTCTAGGAACAGATGGCCCAGATGACAGAGTTCTGCATCCAGAACAGATTCAAGACTGCTGCCTGAGATGATCAAGACTCACAGGATACTCCAGCCAGAACTTGATTATGACTCTAAATTTTCTTTAGGTCCCCATAAGATCATCAGCGCCCTCAACCAGCTGGAAGTAGCCTTGAATTCTACGCCCACATTCCCAAAAAATGGACTATGGATATTTTCCTTTTTTTAAAAAAAAAAAAAAAAGAAGGGGAAGTGGTGCGGGAGAATTGTCTGTATTCTGTCAATCATGTTTTTAAATAAAACGCTGATTGGCCAGGCAGGAAGTATAGGTGGGTCAACCAGACAGGAAGTAAAGGTGGGGCGATGAGAACAGGAATATTCTGGGAAGCAGGAAGCTCCCTCTGCCTTTCCTGCCCAGATCACCGAAGAAGCAACATGTGAGCTGACAGCTGAAAAAGGTACCAAGCCATATAGCTAACATAGATCAGAATAATGGGTTAAGATAAGTCATAAGAACTAATAAGTAGCCTGACCTAATGGGCCAATTAGCTTTATAACTTATAATAAGAGATCTCTGTGTGATTGATTTTCTCTGGGACTTGCCGGCTGTGGGGTACTGGGCGGGACAGAAACCCCAACAAGCCGGCCCTCATGTTACATATGGTTTTACATATACTGGAAAAGGATTGGGATAAGCCAGCAGATCTTACTTGTTATTGCTCAGAGATTAAGCTGGATGGGTTTTATTATCTTTTTCCTTCTTTTTGTCTTTTGTTTGTGTTTTTGAGATAGGGTTTCTCTGTGTAACAGCTCTGGCTGTTTTGGAACTTTCTTTGTAGACCAGACTGGCTTCAAACTCACAGAGATCTGCCTGCCTCTGCCTCTTGAGTGCTGGGATCAAAGGCAGGCACCACCACTGCCTGGCTATTTTCTTTTTCATAATTGTTTCAGCCACTGTAATAACCATTTGATATTTGTGAAATTAGAAAGACAAGGGCTAAAAAGATGGCTCAGTGGTTAAGAATGGATACTGCTCTTGAGAAAACCTGAGGCTGGTTCTCAGCTTTCACAGTGAGCCGTCCTTCTGTCTTCCCACAAATACACAACTCACACACATAAATAAAAATGTTGAAAGAAACATATTTTTAATTAGAAAAATGTTTAAAACTTTGAGTTTGGAAACAGAATAATATTTGTTAGGAGCATGGAACTCTGTCTCTTTAAGTCACACTGTCGTCTTGTAACTATGATAACTAACAAATCTCATAAAATAGGGATCTGTTCCTGCAGATTTTTAAAGATTTTTGAGATCTGTTCTCTTGCAACTCACTTTCTGAGGGATCCATGTTTCCCCAAGGGTTGGACAGACAGTTCAGGCAGCCCTGAACAATTAGTGAGAGCGTGGTAGACTTTGCGTACCCTGAATAAATTGGGAGGGCTGGAGCGCCACCTTGTGGCCAGATGCATCCTTCTCAAAATCAACATAATGCCTAAATGTTTTGCTAACTAAGGGCAAATGTGGTCTTGTCTTCAGGACAGACTTAGTAGTAACTATCAAGACAGACCGGTATTAACCATCCTGTAAAACAGATAAATGTTCCAAGAACATCCAGGGACCAGGTATCCGTCTAAAATGCTAGGAAGATCTGGAGCCACCGAAAACTGTGTTTACTAAGCCCCATAAGAATGAATATACCACACATTCTTTTACCCATTTTCTCTGCCCATATACCCCTTTTCTCTGTCTTCTCCGTTTACGGGTTAGACCATCAAGACAAAAAGAAAACAAGACCCAGTGTGAACATCCCAGGAGACGGACCACTGGGAAACATATTTATGGACAAGACCCTGCAAGATGTCTCAGGAACCTACCTTTGAGGGGAAGACTGCCTTCCTAAGCTTCGAAGAACTTAACTTCCTCTATGAAATTTCTTGTGGTTTCAGAGATACCTACTTCAAAGATACAGTTGTTCTGTTTGTTTTGGTTTTGCTTCTTTGTCTGTTTTTCAAGACAGGGTTTCTCTGTGTAGCCTTGGCAGTTCTGGAACACACTCTGTGAACCAGGCTGACCTTGAACTCACAGATCACCTGCCCTTGGCTCCTGATTGTTGGGATTAAAGGTGTGTGCCACCACCACGCCTTGCTGAAGATAACAGATGTTTTATGTCTTGATTGACACCCTATCATGGTTTTCCAGAATTAAAAAAAAACAAAAAAAATTATTAGTGTTCTCACAATTCTAACACCCAAAGTAAATTGGAAGTTCAAACAGCTAACACCCCTCCCTGTGAGTGGCTGGCCAGGGTGACCGTGTGTGTGTGTGTGTGTGTGTGTGTGTGTGTGTGTGTGTGTGTGTGTGTTAAAGCCCCTATACAACCCCCCTGTCCAAATGATTCACTATACCAAGAGCTGATGCACACAAGAAGATACCTTCCATTTCTGAGGGGAATGCGGATATTCAAGAACTGGGGTCAGTAAACTATTTTTTTTATGTTTTGTTTTGCTTTTCAAGACAAGGTTTCTCTGTGTAGTCCTGACTGTCCCGGAATTTGTTCTGTAAGTCTGGCTGACCTTGAACTCACAGAGATCTGACTGCTTCTGCCTCCCAAATGCTGGGATTAAAGTCGTGGGCCACCACTGCCTGGCTTCAGTAAACTCTCTTTTGGGGTGGGATGTGGAGAAACGGTCTCACCCTACAGCTCAGGTTGCAACTCACAAAAATCTTCCTCTACCCACATCCCACGGGCTGGCATTACAGGTGTATGAGCCACCATGCCGG